AGATCCCTACCCAGGTAGGAGAACACCGCCTCGGGCGCTGCAGAACCTCGTCTCAGACCTGGAATATTTCAGGCCTGCTACACGTTCTACTCTGGGAAAATGGGAGGGGGGATTATACAAAGTATATGGGTGATGTGTAGCCATAACAACCTTCTTTCTCAGAAAGTCAAGGTCACTTTGTCCCTGCACCTGGACGGAGGTGGATGAGAGGAATCTTTCCTCGTGGCAATGAAGGATTGGACCATGGGATGGACGTGGGTGTTGGGGGTAGGGTCTTGGAACTTTCAACTAGGTGGGAAAACCTGGAAACTCTCAGATTTGTGTTTTTCCAGATGTGCCAACGTGACATCTCTAATAAAGTGGAACTTTGAGGAAACTCAAGCCTTGGGATTTTCTTCCGTTGGGGGTGTTTTTTCGAACCCTGACACCTCGAGCTGCCGTGGATGTAACTTTGGGGAAAGAGCTTTGAGATCTTCCATTATTGTTTTTAAGCGAGGTGAGCTTAATTTGCCATGTTTCTTCCCTGTCCCTGGAACATGGAGTATTATGCCAGCTTCAGGCAGGCAAGGAGATGGGAAGCTTCCTTTTCTGGAATAAAGGAGGGAAGGAGCCACATGTAAAAGATGAGGACAATGCTTAAGGGAGCCATTCTGAAGTTTGAAGAGGCACAGTAAGATAACGCCTCTGGTGGCTTCAGGAATGTGTCCATGCTCTTCTCTTGGCGCAATACAGACGGCAGAACTAGAGTCACTTGACAGGGGAGATGGGTGGCATGAAAATTGAATGAATAAATGAAGCAAACTCATGGGTTTCTCACTTTCTCGCCCAATGCCTTTCACCACTAGACCAAATCAGCTCTTGCAGAAGGAAAAGGTAACCCAAGGAAGTCATCTCTGTATCATTTACATGACTTCTTCATCCCAAAGCCTCTGGGCCAGTGCAGGCAAGCTTTTTGGGCCAAAGGGTCCTGTATATGTAGTGGTTGAGGGGAGGGGGGGGGACTTCCACGCTCACACTCTCCCTCGGGTGCACACAGCCTTCGGAGGCAGGAAGTTCTCTTCCCTCAAAGCAGATTTTTTGGGGGGGAGGGGTGGGGCATGGCTGAAGCCTTCTCATCTATCACAGAATCTTTTGGTACCCGAGTGGAGCTGAGGCTTGGGGGAAAGGTATGTTTAATGAAGTAGACCCTCCCATTCCATCTCCCTCCTCGTCCTACTTTACTCTGGGCCAGTTTGCTAACCAATTGAGCAGCAGGCAGGGTGGGTGGAAGAAAGGCTAGCCTGCCTGTGGGAATTTGGGGGCAGAACGGTAGGCTTCAGTTTGCCCTTTTCTGCTGGAGGGGCTCCTTGGGGAGGGGGGAGGCCTGGTTTCTTGCTGCCTGCCAAACCCTTACCGTATATGAAGGTGTCCTCTGCTTGGAGGTTGTGTCATAGGTGTCCTGTCCAACGTCAAACTTGTAGGAAGGACGGAAAAAGATGGGGGCCTCTTGGAACCCCTTAAATAGAGAACCTGTGCAAAGGGCAGACCAGGCAAGTCAAAGGGCTGGACCCTAAAATCCCAGCATTAAGGAGGCCCCGAGACGCCCTGCCATTACGTGCCAGGGGCTGCAGTGAGCTGGCAAATGGAGGATGCCGGAACCACAATCTCGGGCGAAAGGCTTTAGTAACACGGATCAAGGTAAAAAGCTTCCCAGGCAGATGGAGTCAGTGAGCCAAGGTGGTGCTGGGTTGGAAGGCCTCTCCCACCACCCCAACTCCACCATCACCCCAGTCCCTTCTGACAGGTCACCAGTCTCCGCCCTTAGGCTGTGGCTAAATCAAATGTGGGTGTAATCAACTGGGTATGGTTTAATAACAATAACCCCCCCCCCCAAAAAAAAAACCTGGAAATGAGCAAGAGGCGAAGCCTCGATGTATGACAATAGGGACTAGAACCATTTGTCATTAAATGGGATAGTCATTATGTGAGTTACCATCTGGCTGCACCCAATTTTACGACTTTTACTAAGGTATTTAAGCAAATCACTATGGTAATTAACAGATTAACAGAGCTGGAAGGGACCTTGTAGGTCATCTAGTCCAACCCCCCACCCAAGCAGGAGACCCTACGCCATTTCTGACAGATTAAGTGAGGTATCAGGCTTGAGACTTGCAACTTTTCCTTCCGGCTTCCGCCTTCCCTCTTGTAAGTGAAGGACTCCCTGTATACACGCTTAATGTTGCAAGGAATGGGTCTGCCTTTTAGCTAGCAAAAGCTCCGTGGGTACTTAATCATAGTGAACATACAGAACACAGAATAACAGTTGAAGGGACCTTGGCGGTCGTCTAGTCCAACCCTCTGCTCAAGCAAGAGTCCTTACACCATCCCAGACAAATGGCTGTCCAATCTCTTCTTAAGATATCCAGTGATGGAGCACCTATAACCTCTGGAGGGAAGTTGTCCCACTGATTAATTGTTCTCACTTTCAGGAAATTCTCCTTAATTCTAGATCGGATCGGTCTTTGTTAAGCCTCCACCTGTTACTTCTTGTCTTGCCCTCAGGTGCTTTGGAGAATAGGTTGGCCCCTTCTTCCTTGGGACAGCCTCTCAAATAATGAAAGACTGCCACCATGTCACCTCTTTGTTAAATGTTAAGACTATACATATTCCCAGTTCCCGCAACTGTTCATCCTAAGGTTTTGCCTCCAGTCCCCTAATCGTCTTCGTTGCTCTTCTCTACAATCTCTTAATCAATGATGTAGATGAGTGGGTAGGAGAATTCAACACATTTGCAGATGCCAAGATAAGGGGAATAGCTAATAGCCATCTTCCAGACATGAGATTTAGATGGATTTTAACAGATTTGAGTTGGCAATAGCAATAGCAATAGCAGTTAGACTTATATACTGCTTCATAGGGCTTTCAGCCCTCTCTAAGCGGTTTACAGAGTCAGCATATTGCCCCCACAGTCAGTCTGGGTCCTCATTTC